ATATGCAGGCAGGCGACTTTCTAGAAAGCATTCTGAGAATGATCTGTCTTTCCTTTGCTATCCTGGGACTTTGCCGTCGCCACGCTTAGTGCCTTCTGCAGGCCTTCTACATGAGCCATCGTTTTGAAGAGAAGCTTTGCCGAGCAAGATGCTCCGTCCGTCGTCTGTCAGAGAACACGGCGCCACACGCGACTCCCACCCAACACGAAACCCAATCAAATGGACAGCGCCTAGTTCAGCAGGGGTGAAACATGCTAGAGGCAAGCGGACGAGTGGCTCGGCGTGTCTGGCGGCGGGTGGAGATGGAGGGGGAAGGGAACGGAGAACGGGGGCGCAACGCGCGGCCAAGCTGAGATGCGACGCTGCGGCCCCTTTGCCTTTTTGAGGTTTGCCTTTGACCTTTCACCGTAGAAGGGGTGTAGCGGGCAGGTGCTGAGTGGCCTTGGGGAGGGCATCAGGTGTCAGGGACCGTGTCTGGATCTCCGGCGTCGAGACGAACGCCCACCTTCGGAAATCTGTGCTGTCAAAATCGAATTGAGGCTGACGAGAAAGCAGAATGGCACCCTAATCCGCCTCGATGGGGGCAGAGTCTATCCTTGGAACCCCATTGCTCAGCTGTTTTCATTGCTCGTAGCCGCTGATGTCTGATCGCCTTGATTTTTCCCCTTCCCCCTTCACCCCTCATCCTTCCTTCCCCTGGAGGCTGGACCGTCCCGAGGCAGCATGACTCTTGTCACAGGTGTCGATTTGATCATGGCATAAGCTTGGGCCGTGGGCCTGGAGGTGTTTCTGGCCTTTTTTTTACCTGGATCGGCAGGCGATCAACTGCATACTGCTAGTCGGTATCATAGGCGAGACAGACAACTGGCGGCAGGAAGTCTCATTGTGGCCGCAATTTGTGCAATCATGTCCTCACTCCCGTCTCGCCTGGCCTGGTCCTGGGCATGCTACCAGTCTTCAGAGTCAACAGGCGCTGAGCAGTCAGCAGCCACCGCCGGCCATCGTCGACCTCTCAAAGCCGAAGAAGACAATTGTTTCCCGCTTTTACGGTTCAGGAGACAGTGTCCGCCCGGTGTTGTCTCGTGGGGAACCGGCATCGACCCTGTTTCTGCCCAAAACCTGGCGCAGGATGGTTCGGGGGGGGGGGCAGTTTTGAGATGCAAGTAGCTGGATAGTGCAAGTAGAGACAGGAACACGGTAAACCCCCTTGAAGATGGCCTCAAAGTAGTCCGGAAGAAAGGCACGAGGGCTGTCGACCACACTGTATCACTACAAGCATGCCCTGGAGAACGCCACAGGACCGCTAAAACGACCAGGGCCGTGACCACACCACCACCCTGCGATGGCCCGGACACATCTTTCCCCTCCAACGTCCTTCCATTTCAGCACGGGAGGGGATCTCTAACCATCGCCCAACTGGTGTAAGCTGTGACACCAAGCAGTTGCAACAGAACTGGCTGCGGCTTCGCTGTCATTTGTCCCTTTCTCCCCCTCGAGAAACACGTCTCTACTTCTCATCCTCTTCGTCCCTCTCGCCCTTTTCCCAGTCTCTTGCTGCCACGTCGCGCTGTGAGCAGTCTCGAAATCGCGGGGGTCTGCGACGAACGGCTACGGAACGGAAACCCACTAGAATCACCGCCAGCGCCTGCGCCAGCACCAGGATCAGCGATCGCCGCCAGAACCTGGCAGACCCACGAGAAGCGAGATCGTCCGCCTCACGCTCTATCTATCCCTTGACAGCTTGCCCGGCCATTCTCAGCCCTCTTGCCATCGAGTCGTACAGCGGCGGTTGTACCGTCTCCGAACCGTACAACCCACCAACACAAAAGGGCCAGCTTCAGTTGCCTTTGCGTTCGACATCACGAAGACCCCGACCCAAGGGCCCTCGACGACAGAGCCGACCCTTTTGATTCCGCCTCGAACCAACGCTGTGCGCGGGCATAATAATCGAGGCAATCGAGGCAGACTTGCCTCGTCTGCATCGCATGCTGCTTTGCCACGACGCCCACAAAAGCCTCTGCTGCCTCCCCACCTGTACTCTTCGTCGTTGAAGGAAGACGCAAGTAGAGAATACGCGAGGAGGGACGATAATCCCTAGCAGCACAAAGAACCCGAAGCGATCGGACGGCCGATGTATCCCGGCATGGCTACACAAAGAAGGTACGAGAGACACCCACTGCCAAATCACCGGACTGCAACCCGTATGCACTTTGCAATCTATCTCCCCGATATTGGCTCCTTTGCCTTTGCCTTTGCCTTTGCCCTTTGCCCTGTGCCCTCCCCCCCTCGTCTTGCTCGACTCGCTATGAGCTGCTCTGTCAGGGCCTCCTCGTTGAGGGCCCTCGGTAGGTCCCTGGCGGGCCTGCTGAAGAGGCCAGGGACCGACCTGCTGAAGAACGGCCCTGGCACAGCACATGAGAGTTAAGGCTGGTTGACGAGTGGGGTTCATTTCAATTCACACCCCTACAGTGGAAGCCGCGCTCGACCCCTTCTTTCCCTCCCACGCCCGCTACCAATCCCACTCCTTCTTGCCTGCCTCGCCCACTAGGTACCGGTGCTGCCCTGGGTTGCCCGATCTCCAACCGACCACGGCCAATTCACCTGGCTGCCTGACCTCCTGAATGCTCTTCCCATCATCACCTCCCTCTCTTGTCTGTCGCTGCACTGCTGCCTTCTTCCCCCCTTCACCGAGTCTGCTGCAGATTCATTCGTCGAGGCGGTCGCAGGCTTGCAGCTAGCCACAACTCGATTCATTGCCCGACTTGTCTCTTAACCTTTTCCCCCCTACCTGTCATTCTCTACCGCCTGAGCCGAAATCCCCCCCACCCACCGCCCCTTTGCCTCGCCTGCGCGCATATGCCGACCGACCATGGCTAACGACCGCAGCGTCTACTCGTCCGGCCAGTTTATGAACCCAGGACCGGCCCCGAGACCTCCCACCGACAACAGACCCAGACTCGCCCTCACCCCCAATGCCAACCTCCCCGGTAGCATGGCCAACATGGCCATCTCCCCCATCCGGAGCACCACCACTTCGACCTACACCGGGTCTACCATTTCTCTGCCCATCGCACGTCAAAACTCGAGCCAGACCGATGGCATGGGCGGCGTCGCCATCAGGAAGGAGGGTTGGGCGCAAGTAAAAGAAAGCAAGAACTTTATCAACCCCTGGAAACAGAGGCTACTTGTCCTCCGCAAAGAGTCGCTCGACTTCCACAAGACGGAGGGCGGCAAGGTCGCCTACACACTATACCTCAAAGATGTCGTCAACGTCGGCCGAGTCGAGGCCGCAGGGACCATCTTTGAGATCAAGAGGAACCCCAACGGGTCGTCCAACAGCCCCGGCGAGGACGACGGACAAACCAAGACGCTGCAGATCCGAGTCAAGAGCGACGATGATCTGTATGAATGGATCGACCTCATCTACGGCGCATGCCCTGGTATGGGAGGCGTCAGCAACCCCACCAACTTCTCCCACGCCGTTCACGTCGGCTTCGATCCCCAGACTGGCGAGTTCGTCGGCCTGCCACCCGAGTGGTCGAAGCTGCTCAACTCATCCGCCATCACAAAGGAGGATTACGAGCGCAACCCGCAAGCTGTCTTTGAGGTCCTCGACTTCTACTCCGACCGA